AATTGTGATCAAAATATTGTTCTTCAAGTTTTCAATAGTTGCCACCCTGCCATCAAATTTACAATCGAAGAAGAAACCAAAGAGACAATCTCCTTTCTGGACGTTCGTCTTCCGCTGCGCCCTATTTTGGACATGTCGGGATCTCCATATCATCCAATAGCGAAATGGCTAGCAGAACTCCTACAACCTGTCAGAGAACGAATTTCAAAACATTCCCTTCGGGATACCTTCGAATTCATCGATTGCATCAAAGATGTTAAAGTGGGAGACAAACGTATGATTTCACTCGACGTCGAGTCTCTCTTTACAAACGTCCCTATCACTGAGACGATTTGTTTTCTATGCAAATACTTGGAAGAAAACAACCTGGATATTGGAATACCTACCACCAAGCTAAAAGAACTCCTACTCAGATGTACCCTAAATGTCCAGTTCAGATTCAATGGGAACTTCAATAGACAAAAAGATGGCGTGGCGATGGGATCACCTTTGGGTCCGGTGCTGGCTGATATTTTCATGGCAAGTTTGGAAAACGGTCCGCTGAAAGCAACCATCGACAAATTCTTCTTATACAAAAGGTAATTCGATGATACTTTCGTCATCTGCGATCACAATTGTGATCAAAATATTGTTCTCCAAGTTTTCAATAGTTGCCACCCTGCCATCAAATTTACAATCGAAGTAGAAACCAAAGAGACAATCTCCTTTCTGGACGTTCATCTAAGTAAGAAGACCGATGGTACCTTGAACAGATCAGTACACAGAAAACCTACATGGAACGGTCAGTTAACAAACTTCTACAGTTGGGTACCAATAAGTCGCAAGCGAAATTTGATAATATCTCTGGCGACTAGAATCCGAAAAATCTGTAGTCCAGAATCAATAGAGGAAGAGATCGCCCTCTTAAGGAAGACACTGCTCGAGAATGGCTACCCACCCCGTTTTATAGACAAGCACATTAAGCCTAAGACGTACAAAGAACAACCCATTACAGTGCAGAAGAAGATGGTCTACATGAATGTACCCTTCAAAGGTGACCTTCTGGCTGACACCCTGAAGAAGAGGATATCTACTGCTCTCAGAAGGACATTCTTCGCTGCCACACTACGACTGACATTTTCCTCCCGGCCATTGTTCTTCAACTACTCTAAAGATAAACTATCGCATTTGACCACTTCCATGTGTATCTACCAATTCACCTGCTCTTGTGGAGCGAGGTATATAGGTCGTTCGATGCGTGTTTTATCTAAAAGAGTTCAAGAACACTATCCCGCCTGGCTACGGAAAGGTAACAACGGAGCAATAAGGAGCGCCATTATTGAGCATATACTCAACACTGGTCATTCGATTTGCAAGGAGAAGTCGTTCAAAGTCATCTATAAAGTCAAAAGAAGCCTTCCAAAATCGACAAGCTTTCGTATACTTTGTATTGCTGAAGCCTTAGCGATTTGGATGGAAAAGCCTGAGTTATGCACACAGAAGAAACTTCTCCACCCCCTCCTACTACCGTGGGTTTAATTCCAAGTTTATTTGTCATCAACATTTTGTTACCAAATTTTTTTGCAATTTTCGTATAACAATTTTTAGTAACTAACCCATTCTATCTTTTCACCTATTATCTAGTTTATTTTCATAATTGTCTCCAAACTCCTTCACTAGCATCTAATCTTTCTAAACATGTCCATATTACGTAACCCTACTCACATCTTACCAATCTTCACCCCACTTAGTTACAACTTTGAGTATTAATCACACATTTTAACTTCTTGATTATTTTGATGATGTAACTCTACTCACATCTTACCAATCTTCACCCCACTTAGTTACAACTTTGAGTATTAATCACACATTTTAACTTCTTCATTATTTTGATGATGTAACTCTACTCACATCTTACCAATCTTCACCCCACTTAGTTACAACTCTGAGTATTAATCACACATTTTAACTTCTTCATTATCTTGATGATATAATCAACAACCCACACTAACTGTTATTTTGATTTTGACAAACCTAATGTACACACACACACACACAAAATAATTATATATATATTTGCGAC